TCGAGACCAAACCCCGATCTACACCAAACCAACCCAGATTCACACTGGACAACCCCCTGACCTCCCTCGTGACCAAACCAAGCTTGCTTTGGTCTGAATCTACCCACAAATCCTAAAATCCCAAATCTGAAGATTCAAACTTTGGAATACAAGAACCTGGGGAATCCGGTCAGTTTCATGGGGGTTTTGGGACCTAATAGGCTTTAATCAAGGTGTTCTCGGACGAGAACACCCCGATTAAAGTTTGTTCGGCCTCAAATGGTCAAAACTGGTTCAGGTCTGGTCCGTTCTTGGTTAAGCTTCCACAGTAAGTTTTCCTTTTTCTTTTCTGTTTTGTTTGAGTACCGATTAAGTTTGTTAGCATGTTCTGTTGTGATTATTTGGTATTTCTGGTATTTTCATTCCAATTTCTTCCGTCTTTATAAGGCCTTTTATTTGGTCGATTGTTTTCTATGCATGTTTGGATATATTCTGTGATATACATGTTCGATTAGATTAGTCGTCGCATAAATAATTCATATGGCCTCCCAGTATTGTGCAATGTTGTCTGAAGTTATTCAGGACCCCGTACGTATTGTTTATTTAATCGATTGATTATGCCTTGTTATAATTTGTGTGGTCGACTTGATAAACATCGTCGATTAGTTTCCTATAACTGAAGGTTCAAATATTCTAATTCATAGAACTTCACATGACTGCTCGAACTTTGTTGTTAATTGGATGCTTAACATTGTTTTATAACTGCAATGCAAATGATTAGGATCTAGTCTAGGGCAGTTTTGAATTTGAACTTTCAAAAGTTCAAAATGCCTTGATGCTGCAATGGTTTGGGACAGTAATAATCAGGGTTTAACAAGGGTAATTTGGGTGTAAAAAAAGAACAGAAATGATTAGTTTAAATGAGCTGACAAATAGGGTACTGGATTAGGATTAAACTAATGTAATAGTGGGAGCCAAACTTGTTAGCATAGGGCTAATTGAATAAAAAAGGGGTGCCCATGTTTTTGGGCAGAAAATATAGGCTAAAGGCCTGTCGAATGGATGGGCATGGGGAATATTTCGATTAGTTTAAAGAAGAAGTTATGGGCAGGAAAAAGGGGAAGGGCTCAAGGCAGCTTAGTGCTTGCCATTTCTGCCTATAAATAGGACTGTTTCATAACGTAAAAGGGCTGGATATTAGTCTTCAGAGAGATTTTAGGTTGGAAAAACTGAAAGAAAGAAACATAAAGAACATTTTAGAATATTGTAACAAAACACTACATGAAAACTGCATAAGGGTGCAAGTTGGTCAAGCTATCTTTGCCAATTGTTGTTGGGTTGTTTGCCGAGCTGTTTGTGATTGTTAAACTGCTGGTGCTATTACATTAAATATTCTGGGCTTTCTGCTGTTTTCTACTCTGTTTCTGGGATTGTCTGTTTGATGCTCGATCACATGTGGGCTTCATAATTGTTGCTGGTGGTTGTTGCTGGTTGTTGTTGCTATGTTGTTGTTGTTTGGTTGTTATTGCTGATCATTCTCCTTCTTCTTTTGCTTTCCCTACCAGGTACACGACTAATACACTATCAATGTAATTTAAAAGTCGAGCATGAATACAAAAGAGAAGAGTTGAAGATGTTATTTTATACATAGCCTGTTATATTAAATACCATGTGATGTATAATAGTTTATATTTTTGCTTGGATACTGGAGGCAACCCTTATGCTTAGTGAATGTCAATGTATGGTAGTTTGACGTCAGATTGTGTATATAGGTTGGTAGATAAAAGGATTCACAGTACAGTAGGGTACATATTAGACTTTAGCCAATTTTGGTCAGCATGCCATTGAATGCCTGTCACGTATAAAGCTATCCATTGTTAAGCTAATTTCATTTCCTTTTGATAAACTGCCCTGTTACAACTGATAAACCACCCCTTTAGAACAAAAACACAAGTTTCCGGCCTCAACCTCACGAAGGTCGAGCCCAAGTCGAAACGGGCCAAGCAGGCCTTCACCAGAAAATCAGTGACCCAGGCCTGGCGAATCCCGCATAAGCTGGGTTTGGGCCCATGAGGTCCGATCGCTCGCCCATGGGTGTGGCCTTGTTTCTGATTTTTGTTTGAAAAGCATTCGGAATCCTGCTGTAAATAACTGTAAGCATGTAATTAACTAGGGCAATTTCTTCTTTCAACTGGTAGAGACAAATACAACAAGAAATATAGTCGCTATAGGATATCCTTTCAAAATAAAAAGATGAGATGAGCCTCGACAAATAAAATGCACAAGCTGCGGGGCCCTCATTGAATGTATATATTAAAATACTTAGAATTCGGGACAGGCAATTTAGCAAAATTCGCGGCCTTCCCAGGATAATAATACGATAGTCTCTTTAGGCGCGTGTTTAATAATCTTACCTTCTTAAAATCGGGTGTGCATTTCATGCGACCCAACTCCAAATCCTAAAACATTGAATAAAAATATGTTCTGGATCGCGGGTGCATTTCATGTGATGCAATCCAAAGACATGTTTTAAAACGATGTTCACATTCCTTTAAAAAATATAATAAAAGCGGTAAAGGTTAAAATTTGCACATAAGTTCGTATTTTGTATAAAATCAGATAAATAAGCCGAATATGACAGTTGAGCGACCGTGCTAGAACCACGGAACTCGGGAATGCCTAACACCTTCTCCCGGGTTAACAGAATTCCTTATCC